GAAGAGCAATTAAAATCCTTGTCTTGAATTGTTTAGAGTGCACAGGCTGGCACTGAGCAAAAAAAGAGGAAAACATAAAAGCAGAATGATGATGTTGGCAAAAATACTGGTTCTACCACCTTTATTTTAGAAGGGGAAGGCTAGCAAGAAAACAAAAAGTGCAAGGTAAATACAAGCAAAATGGAAAAACAGGAAAGCACAAGAGCTCAAGGCAGAAAAAAGGTGAAGGAAGTGTGGAAGGATGCTGAAGTGCTAAGACTGGGGATGCAGACATACTCCAGATCAGAAACAGACATTCCTGAGACTGATTTAACATGTGGTTTTGTTACAATTAAGTGTTGTGTGGGTGTTACCGTCTTAAATTCCATCTTAAAACGCTGTTCCTCTGATTTTTCAAGGGGAATGAACAACGCTTGGTAAAACTAGTTTGAATGAATGTCATGTAAAAAGCTGAGGTTTTATCAACATGAAGTCCCCCCACAGGATACCACATCCTTATATTGGGAAGAATTTACTGGGTTATTTCATCTGAGGTCTTAATCCGAATCTAAGCATTTATTTTCTGGCAGCCATCAATCTGTAAGATCCCAGCATTCCGGAGGAAAGGCAGTCCTCCCTGGGAGCTCTATTGGGAGGGGACACAAAGGGTACTCAAGAGACTCAAGGAGCACCCTGTTGTGCGAGATGGAATCGTGCTGGGATTAGTTTGGAAGCTAAACATTTCACCTTAGAAATGCTAAAGCAAAATGTTCTGGTACTTCCATGGGGACATTTTTTTTACTTTTGTACCAAAGACTTTAATTTCAGGATGGAAGTAAGTATCAAGATACCAGAATTTTCGTTATAACAAGAATCCCCATTTTGAGAGTTTACCCAGGAGAGCTGTACCAGAGTTGTGGGAGTCTTTAAGAAGAAAAAGCTCATCCCACTCTTCCTCCCTTGTCCTCTGTCAAAACCCCAACATAACCACAACAACTTAGACTGCTATCAGGCCAGCGAGAATTTTGTATTAAATGATTCCCCTTGGCCACACTGGGCCATTCAGCTGAATTAAGTCAAAGGGACTGCTGGCAGGCTTAAAAATAGGCATGTGTTTAAGAGCTTTGCTGTCTTTGTTGCTGCAGTAAAAAAAAAAAAGGAAGTTGGAGAGGCATCAATCTGGAATTGAAAATATCATCCATATATCCAAGACACAAAATATAATTTGAATTAATAATTCATTCTGGTCTATAGTGCCTTGCATGAAGCTTAACTGAGAGCAAAGTGAGAGATACTAGCTCCTTTCCCTCTCCCTGTTATTTTAGATTAATTTGAAAACAGGTTCAGAAGAAAGAGAGATAGAAGACACTGTGCTGTGGGAATTGGTGTATCATAGTAAGGGAACTGAGGAATAACTGTAGCACAGCACTGAGTGGACTGAGAGAGCAAGGATGACATATGGGTAAGGCAAGAATTCCTTGATAAGTGTTCTACTTTGTATTATCACTTTATTGGATTTCAGTACTTGGATTTTGTGACAAGCCTTCCTGCACAGTGTCATTAATATTTTTCCTTCCTTCAAGACTGTGGCTCTAAGCAGCAGCAGTATTCCTTCTCGACAGCTTCCAGAAGGAAGACATCCCCCTCAGCAGTGAAAATCTGCTATGCCTACCTCTGTAATGCTCTCACATATTTTTCCTCGGTCTATAATCTACATTCTATTTTAAACAAAGGATGCCCACACTGGCTCTTCTGGGCTTGCCCTAGCTAGCTAGAGTCATCTTTAGGGTAATATGTCATTCAATCCATGACAGTCTGAGGATGAATCCATTCAGAAGGTTCGCAAAAACAAGCCACCTAAAATTTGTATCAGGGGACCTGGAGAAAAAAACTAATTACATAGAACAAGCTATGCAGATGCTAGCTGTGTTTTCAAATGTAGATGAAGTTTCTAACACACATCTCTGAAAAGAGTTTCTGTCTACTGCAGAGAAGGAATAAGTAATACTCTCTAAAAATTCAGGAAGGTGTTGGAAGACAGAGAGCAGACATATGTCGATTTTCCTTTTAGATAAACCACATATTTCAGCGGCAACATGCCAGATTTCCTCTTCCCCACTTTCAGTGTTGTTTTTCTTTCTCTTCTGATTCTCCTTCTGATGTTCTCCAGTGCAACCCTGCAGGTTGTGAACATACACATTACAACTAGTGTTACAGGAGTCAGCTGAGGCATCAGAAACAGTGTAGGCACATTAACACAGAGGATAAATTAGCATGCGTGAAGATCATGGTAAAAGCACAGCCAGTACCTGAGCTTGTCCATCTCTACCCAGTGCTGCAGCCAGAGGTTTGGCAAAGAGCAGAACTGGCTTTTTTTCTCTCCAGGAGGTGCTACTTCATCCACATGCACACTGGCCCCCAGCTGTGCAGAAGAGCAACTGAACAAGCTAGAGAATCGTCTCCCTTATGTCTCCCTTATTTTCCATGTTTCCTCCTCCTGGTTCACACAGTCAGGGCTGTCCCCTGCAACAGCATGATACTAGGCTGTGATATTTGCTTGGCAGGACTATGACAGTGGGCGATGTTATATAGTGTTGTTACCTCTTTAATCTTCAACTGCATATGAAACATTTGAAGCCAATCCAGCTCCAGTAGAGTCAAAAAAGGATGCAAAATAAACAGTGTCCCGCTCTACTGTCCAGTCACTGCAGACAGACCAGTCCCAGGCAGGGTCCTGAAGGCCAGTATCCTCACTATCTGCTGCTAACCAGTGGTGGAAGGAGGAATTTTAGAATAAAATTTGCAGCTACAACACAGAATGTGCTATCCTGTCTCCATTAATTAGCTGTGCTATCTTTGAAGGAGCTCTCTTGGGTACAGTAATATCCATTGCCCTATGCCATATCCACATGCTCCATAAGCCTTAACTATCTGCTCACACAGAGGTGGTATTACATCACTCTGTCTGCTTTGATGAATGCTCTACAACAAGGTTCATCCCAGGGGGAAAAACTGTGGGAACCAGTTTACAAACTACATCTAATGGGAAGCCACAACGGCCATCAGCAGCATGCCATGGGACAGCAGAAGCAGTCCACCTTCCCAACCCTATGTAGGGCTGAGGTTGAGTGGGACCCAAAGCATTTTCTCCTCTCTCTGCAGAAAGCACCACCAGAATCTGACTGTTGCACAACAGGAAAATTCAGGAAAGCAGAAGAAACCAGCAGAAACCAAGGTATTCCAATGGCAAGTCCAAAGTCACTTTGAGGAGCCCCCAAGAGTGTGTCATCTTCACGCAAAGAGAAGGCGGCTCTGCCTTCTGTATGTATGCCACAAGAAGTACAATTACCCTGATGGTTTTAATAAGCAAAATTGTATTTGATAGACCAAAACAGCTCTCATCCTAATTACAGACATTTGAGGCAGTAGATATTACTCACCCACTCAGAGCTCAAGACTGTGAGCCACTAGGCAGTTTGAAACATGCTTGAACTCCTGCAGCAGATGAATCCCATCTTTAATGGCAAGTGAAGACCACACTGAAGTTATGGACTTGATACAGAATTTGCCTGTGAAATCCTGTGGCCTGTAATAGGCCCCAAGAGATGAGAACAGACAAGGTCCCTTCCAGCTACGAAATCTGGCAACCAGCTAATCCCTATGCTCCCAGAGGAGCCTACTGCCCAAGTAAACCTGCAGCTACCGCACACAAGTACTCTATCATCTGGAAGTTTCAAACCAGACATCATACACCCGGAGACACTGTCACAACAGTCATTAACACAGAAAGAGAAGTTGCAAGTCGGCTGCTTCACTGGCCTAACAGACAGCAAGAGACTAAGCCATCAGCAATTAATTAAAGGTCAATGACACTTAAAACACTGAAGAATGCACATCCCAGACTATTTATAATTGGCAAATATACTTAGATAAAGCAAGTCATAATCCCACTAGTTGCTTCAAGCTGCCACTCTTCACCTTATCCCACTCCCTTTACAAACCGTGGGGACCACAGGAGAGTTACCTACAGGAGTGCTGTGCCCAGGATCAGCACCAGATGGTCTCCAACATCGTTCATCGGCAGCCTGCTTTGAAGCCCATGGACATGGCTTCAGGCTAATGGTTGGACTGGGTGATCTTCAAGGTCTTTTCCAACCTAGATGATTCTGTGATTCTGTGACATGAGTTATCAGCAGTGAGAGCTTTTCTGTTTATTTCAACGGGCATTGCATGAGTTGTAAATATCCTTGACAAAACCAGTAATTTCTAATGGATAAATATTCTCTGCTTTCACTGGTTTCATGACTTTGAAATGGCTAAATTGCTCTGTACAGCCACAGTTGAGACATTACTCGGCATACCTCCTGCATGAACTATTAACAGCCCATGTCCTAAAATGAGTGCAACACAGGGTTAAAATTAACTTTAAAAATTTGTTGACAATGGAAGTCTAACTCCTCTGACATACTGCAGGCACTACTAGTGAGTAGTTTCATAATTCCCTATATCTGCAAAGAACCGTACAACCCGTGACTATTAAGAGAAAAAAAAGAAACAAAAACCCCAAACAAAACCACACACACCCCCCAAAAAAAACCACAAAACCCAACAAAAAACCACACCCCAACAAGCAAAAACATACGAAACTCCACGGCTGAATCTCAGAAATAGCTAGGGTTTGTCACAACCTCTGCAACAGAAAATAAACTGTCTTTCTCGTCTTCCTCCCCGCTCCCGACCCAGGAAGGTCCTGAAGGTAATTCTGTCTGAAAGAGTCCAGCTAGATCACTTTAGCTGGACATTTTTACTGTCGGTACTGGGTTTTGATTTTTTTCGATTATAAGAGTTAAAATTAAACGCCCTCCTCCCCGAGCCAGACATTTCTGTTCGCATGTGTCCAATTGTACCTACTTCATTTACCAGGACGCTCAAGCTGTCCCTCCAAAACACAAACTAACCAGCCAAATAAACTGCAAAAAAGCCACGACCCGATGCCGCCAGGACCCCAACGCCCCACGTACCGTGCCCTCGGTTCCGCCGGCGGCACGGGACTTGGCTGCCATCGATCCGCCGCGGGCAGACGCGGACGCACAGCCCCCGCCCCGCCGGGCCGGGCCGCCCTCTTCTCCTTCTGCTCCTGCTCTCCCCGCCGGGAACGCGGCGAATTTGCACGTCCGGGCTGTAAAGCGGCGGCGGGGCCGGGAGCTGAGGCAGGCACTGGCCAAGTTCAGGGACGCAGCCGGGCTCTGGGGAGGCGGCGGCGCCCCCTCGGGCCAGCAGAGAGGAGCGTGGGGAGGCGGGCGGCGGCCGCGGCGCGGATGGCCGCACGGCAGGCGGCAGGTCCGCGGGCAGGCAGGCCGACAGCGGCGGCACCGCCACCTGCCCTGCGACGGCTTGAAACGGGCTCGTCCCCTGCCCAGCGCCAGGCTGCGAGGGAGCCGCCAGGTAGCGGGAACCGCCTCTCAGTCTTGGTGTTAACGGGAACGGTGCGAGACCCGAGGCTGGATCTACAACAAACACAGCAAATAAACTGTCAAGCAAAAACCCCAACCAAACAAAATCAAACAAGCAAACAAAAAACGAACGTGGAAAACCAATTAATCAGTTTCTCATCACAACTTAGAACCTCAAAATACCTATTTCATGGTAGTCTGAGAGAAGAAGCTTTTCTGAAACCTGCTGCACCTTCGCACTCGTGAAGCTCACGTTGATGTCAATGAAAATGTCCCAAGTCACTGAAAATCAGTTAAAGCTGTATATAAAATGACAGCTTAAAGTTCCTAACATAAAACCCTAAAGGAATAACCTGAACACTAATATTTTTGTTTGCTTAACTATAGTTCTTGGTTTAATGGCCTTTCTCAAGCAACACTGCTTTTTTTTGTTCAAAAATAAATAAATATTGCAGGGCTGAGATAGTATCTATTTTGCTGTATTTTGGTAAAACTGCTGTGTTCTTGTCATACAACTGCACATTACAACACCAAGATACACTTAATTTTTTATAGAAGCCTGATCATGTGGCAGTTTTACCTTTAGTCCGCTTTCCCACCTATCTTTGCGCCTGGATGTGTGTTTACCCATAGTGACAAGCTGCTCTTCTGTATAGAAATGGAAGCTGCATACAGGTGCTACCTGTGTATTAAAATAAAAGGATAGGGCCATGGCTGTTGAGGTCATTCAGTAAATCTTGACAATAAGCAGGCAAATTAAATTAAGCAGAAATGTAGATGTTCACTACATTTGAGTGGTAATGTCAGTAAAGTCACTTGGATCCTAGCCTTGCAAACATCCATGGAGACTTTGTTGCAATGGATGCCTCACCTCTTCAAGTAAAAGCTTAAATATGCATCAAGACCCATACAGACATCAACTCTTATGTGTATAAAGGTGGTTTCTGACCACTTTTTTGTCTTTAAGTGTCTGAATTTTGCGGTGATGTTCATCAAGCACTTGTCTAAAACAAAACAGACTGTTTTGGGAGAAATAAAATTAAAGAGCCTTGTTACCAGTAGATCGGTGTCCTTTATGCCATGAACTTCCTACCACTGCAGCAATGTGGCTCCTTGGCATATTTTCTTTGATATGCCATCTGGATGAGAGATGATAAATGTCACAGTCAGTATTAAGCTACACTTCTGCTCTTTGCTTGGGAGCAGTCAGCTGGCCAAAAGGTATGGTGGTTTCATTCAGCACAATTTTTTCCGCACTGGGGGACATGGATGGAGAAATTTCTGTTACCTTCCTGGGAAACCTGTAGTAATGAAATAGTGGAAAAAAACCACCCCAAACAACCAGCTGGATCACTTTGTTGAAGTGGTCCCCAGATAAAACATTCCTAGGAAGGAGTCAGAGAGAAAGGGGAGAAGGGAAGGAAGAGAATAGGGCTGATAACATAATTACACAGTCCATGTCTCATTTCTTCAGGAGACAGGCTGAAAATATATGGCCTATAGTAATGCCCTGAATTAAAGCTGACAGTTTGGTATGCCCTGATCACCACAGTATCTAGGTACATTCCAGTAATACAGACAGGACATTGTGTATGTGCTTTTTAATTGGCCAGAAGTAGGATATAAGTTCATCTTGTATAAAAGCTCTTTTTACATTGCAGGGATAGTACATTAAGGAGCTTTGCACTCCTGCCAACATTCACTGTCAAAAGAGTGAACTGCCAGTTTTCACAAAATTGCATATGCCTCCATAAATATATATTCAGCAGGGCTTATGCCTTCTTGTTTTAAGGTTATACTTTAACACATTTGATTAGAGAGATGCATGTGCTGGGAGCCTGCTGCATTTATTATGCTCAAAAAGAAGAAAAAACCCTCAAATTTACTTATGTTTCATACTTTCTTGTCTTTGGAAAATGAAGGTGGCAGACCTGCTAGTTATGCTAAGTCACACAAGCACTTGTTCAGTCTCCCCACATGTCAAAGGAAATGGAACGTAGTTAACTATTTGAGGTAAAATTCTCATCCTATTGAGGTTAATAATTATTTTGCCTATGGGATCAAAAATTCACATGACTACTTTTAGGACTGATAATGGCAGCAAAATGGAAGATGATGCTGAAACACTTCTCTGATCTGCTGCTTAGAAGATGTGAACTCTACGTGTTCACATGTGAAGACAGTAATTGAATGCCTTATTATTCCACTGAGCAGAGCTGCTGGCTTCAGAAGAGAAGGTGGCCTCCTGGAGTTTTTACTTTAGTATTTTGTATTCCTTAGAGAAGGTAACAGAGAAGGGAATAACATCCTTAGCAACCTTGACACAACCTAATTTTGCAATGAGAAAACTACAGTAGCACCTACGGTCCGAAATGAACTGTCAGTCTCTTGTTGATCACCTTGTCCTGCAGTGCTTTTATCTGGAAATGATTATTGCACAGCTCATTCTTTGAGGTGTGCCACCAACAGTCCATATTGACGTGTTTCCATCTCCTATCTTTGTGTCCAAACGGATGAGAAAAGGCCTTCCACTCCCTTAAAACAGTAGAATGGTGGTATTTTATCAGATACCACTGGAAGGTTTTGGCAGTATATCCCATGTTTTAGCTTTGGAAGGACAGGGAGGTGTTTGGAGGCGAGTGGCTGTCAGTGATGTTTCCATACCATAGAATATTCACTCTTGAGTCCAGGCCTGTTGCTTGTACTTGTGCCTATGATGACATTTCTTACACAGATGAATCTGCTGCTTGTGTTGACAAGGAAAATAGGATTGAGGCATGCACAATGCAGAGTTATGTTTGACTGTACACTAGAAGAGATAATAGAAACAGCCACCCCTTCTCTGTACATTATATACAACTAGCACTCACAGCCAGAAATAATGTAAAACCTCCATGTCACTGATAAAGGCCACACCATATACAAAAACTATTATAAAAACCCTGTTATCACTCACTTTACAAAATAAAGGGGATAAAAAAAATCTGACACTTGCTACGGAAGAAAATCTCCACAGTCTGAATGAATAGGGAACAAGGGATTCATCATCTTCTATATGAACAGAAGTTTACTTTTAGGTTCAATTTTTTTTTCTTCCCAAAACAGGCATTATTAAAAGAAAGGCAAATCATTCTCTAATGGCTATTCCAGCCTCTGTCAGTGATGTGTACTGGGAAACGGGGCAAGCCCACATGACCTCTATCCTCCATATCTTTGAGATAATAATGGTATATTTTAGAAAAGCACTTGAAATGGTTGAGAAGTGCTGTATGCCAGTTCTCTTATTACAAAACCTCAGTAAAGAAAAACCTGGGCCTTCTGAAACCATCTCAGATTATAGAAGGAAAGCAAAAGGCACTTGCTTGCTGATACAGAGGTAGTTCAAACCTATTATTTAATAGTAACTTGTGGTACACTTAAAAGTTTGACTGTAGCATTATGAACTGCTGAACGTGTAGTTCTTGACTCTAGGGTCCTCTTCTGTCAATGGTGATGAAAAGCACTGTGAATAGGGCAAAGCTATGCTACAACATACTATTCAAGAAGCATCTTGCTATTTCAAGTTTTGTCTTTTTTTTTCCTCATGATGGGTAAAGCATCACACTTAATGCTTTGCTGGGTTACTCAAGTTCAGTCACTCCCAAGAAGTTTCAGCTTGGTTTTTTTTAACAATCTTCTCAACTTACTCTTCCTCTACAATGTAAATGATCACACCAGGGTAAAGCAGAGGGCTCTAAAGGTAAAGTAAGGCTACAAAAAGAATTACTTAAAAGCCAGGATGAATGTTTTCCTTTAGAAGGAACAGTTGGCTCTAATTTTGGTTTTGGATCAAACAGTTAACAGTTTTGCTGATGAAAAGCTTTAAACAGGTTTAAGATGATTAAACTTCTAAGGTTTTTTTCAGTTCTTGCAAATCTTGTAAATCCATCCTGTTTGATGCCACTCTCTTTCTGCAGACTTCCCAAGGACTATGAAGTGCTATGAAATGGAAGTTTCTGAAATCCTATAAATCACAGGGTATAGCTAGATGATGTGGTTGAACTTACCTAAAGCTCTCTGCTATAAAAAGGGCACAGCTCTCCCTCCTGGGAGCTCTTGGATACTTGTCAAACTCCTTCCTGAGTGGACTCAAGCTGCTGAACTGCAAAGAAGTTTTAATCTCTCACCTCCACTGCACACTGAAAACACCATAGGATGGGGCCATATAGGAACTGCTGACTTCCACCACATCAGCAGGCTTCTGATTGAACTGCACTCAAAAACCTAAAGTCTGTGATGAATCCTAGTGGATTTCAGTTTTCAGTCCTAACTGGGTGTTGTGTCTGGATTCTCCCCTCTGTGGCGACACATCTTTCAAATGTCCCTGCTTAAATTTCTAGTGATGAGAGAAGGCCAAATACCACCATGGCCGAAAGAACAGAAATGCAGCAAGTAGCAATTAGTTTTTGCGTTAAAAGATCTATTACGTAGATCAAGAATACCAACAACTTTCTCCAGTGCTTATTATAGACTATTCAACTTAAACCAGCTGACTTTTCCTTAATCTTTCTCCTCTTCCTGAAAATATACTTCTTCGGCATTCTGTCTGCCTACCTCACATCCCTACATTGCCAATAATGCATTAGCAGAAATGCAGTAACCCTTGATAAAATGGTATTGTCACATGATAAATGGATTTGCAGTTGTGTTGAAGATAGAACTGTGATTCCTCCCTGTCAGAAAGCATAACGATTGAACTGAATCACCACAGAACTCTACTCCATAGGACCAAGCACTGTTCCTGTAATATCAGTGAAACATGCTTTCTCTGTCACTGGGTTTGTAATGATGGGAGAATTATCCCACAAGCATCCCCAAGACCATATATTAGCATAGATTTTTTTTAAGAACATAACTGGAGACTAAGGGAGAAGTCCTGTGTTTTAGGCCAGGAAATTTTCAAATTTTTAAGGTTTCTTACTTTCAATTTATCCTCTGAAATTACTAATGTTCAGAGACAAATGTTTGGAGCTAATAAATGCTGCTTTCATTGCAGATTCGGTTCTTTTGGCTCAATTATAATTCACTCTATTTTTACTTTTTCTTGTGACTGGGAGTAACTTAAGTACTATGCAACTCAAAGCCTGCTGTGTGTAACAGCTGTATTGAGTTGTGATGTTATTCTATAGATACACTCTGCTCCAGTGCGAGTGTGTTGTCTTTAATCAAGTGTCCTTTTCATTAACAGTAAATGCCCTCTTCTCCATTTCAAATGAGCACTTAGGATAGACCCCAAGACTTCTTCAAGGAAGTCTCTTACAGATTTACAGATTATACGCACTAACAGTCTTGAAACACTGTGGTGGGTTGATGCTGGCTGGACACCAGGTGCCCACAAAAGCTGATCTATCACTCCCCCTCCTCAACAGAACAGGGGAAAGAAAATATAATGAAAGGCTCATAGGTTGACATAAGGGCAGGGAGAGATCACTCATGAATTACCATCATGGACAAAACTGACTTGACTTGGGGAAATTAGTTTAATTTATTACCAATCAAATTAGAATAGGAAAATGAGAAATAAAACCAATCTTAAAAACACTTTTCCCTCACTCCTCCCTTCTTCCTGGGCTTAACTTTACTCTTGACTTTCTCTTTGTCCTTCTCCCCAGCAGCAGAGGGGGACAGAGAAATAGGGGTTCATCACACATTGTTTCTGACACTCCCTCATACTCAGTGGGAGGAGGGCTCCTTACACTTCGTGCTCCAGCATGGGGTCCCTCCCATGGGACAGTCCTCCACAAACTTCTCCAATGTGGATGCTTCCCACAGGCTGCAGTTCTTCATGAACTGCTCCATCATGGGTCTCTTCCACAGGCTGCAGTCCTTCAGGAACAGACTGCTCCAGTGTGGGTCCCTCATAGGTCACAAGCCCTACTAGCAAACCCACTCCAGTGTGGGGTCCTCTCTTCACAAGTCCATGGGTCCTGCCAGGAGCCTGCTCCAGTGTGGACTTACCATGGGGTCACAGCCTTCTTCAGACATCCACCTGCCCTGGCGTGGGATCCTCCATGGACTTCAGGGGGACAGCCGGCACTCTCACCAGTCTTCACCACGGTGTGCAGGGGAATCTCTGTTCCAGTGCCTCCTTCACTGACCTTGGTGTCTGCAGAGTTCCTTCTCTCACATAGTCTCACTCCTCTCTCCAGCTGCAGTTGCCCAGGTCTTTTTTTTTTCCCCTTCTTAAACAAGTTATCCCAGAGGCACTACCATTGTGGCTGATGGGCTCAGCCTTGGCCAGCAGCAGCACTGTCTTGGATCCAGCTGGCATTGGCTCTGTCAGACATGGGGGAAGCTTCTAGCAACTTTTCACACAAGCCACCCCTGTAACCTCCCTGCTACCAAAACCTTGCCATGCAAACCCAGTCCAAACACATTTGAGTTTACCTGCTCTTACAGAGCAGCATTTATTCTATCAATGAAAATTCAGCCTAGGATAGCAATAAATGAATGGTACAGAAAATGTTTCTATTGTTGGATGATTAATACAAAACAGACCACAAGTCACTCAAGTTTTTAGGACACTGGTACCATACGTTCTAAGAAATGTAAGGCCAGATATTGAATCCTACTTTTTCACACAATTTATGTTGCAGTCCTTTCAGATCCACACAAGAGCAGCTGCATTTTCTTTACTGGTTTCCATCGTTTTGCAACTCCAGCTGCATAAGCTGGTCCTCAAACTTCTGAATGTCTACTCGATGTTTCATTAGGAACTTCCCATTTAAATGAAAAACAGGTATATCATATTTGTATTTATCATACCATGCCGAGTTCTCTGGAAGGGTAATATCCACCTCCTGCAAAATAAACTGTGACAGAAAAGTAATATTAGTACCTATTGGACACTGAAAACAGTATCTGCTCGTCTTTTGATTGGTATTTTTTTTCAGAAATGCAAGGCTGCTTGCTGCTTTTTGATTTATTCTTCCATGTTGTAGACAATTACCAATTTTGTGGATACAAAATGTATGTAGCCACAATCCTTGGTTACGTGTCCACAAAGAAGTCTCTCCCTAGTCCTGGACAACATTCTTGATACTCTGTGCAAAACCACTCTCCTGTGAGCACCAACCACAACAAATATGCACCTGGCAACACAACAGCTGCCTCTTAGGCAGCTAAATGCAACACCTCTAATGCTTCGGTTAACAGTCCCTTCAAGAAAAAGATCAAAACCTGGCCAAAGAACAGCAAAAATTGCAATCACATATATGTGTATTTGAAGTCCCACTTAATAACATCCTTCCCAAATGATATCATTACCTGCCTCATGAAAGTTGCAAACTCCTCTATCAGACAAGGCAATAGTATTTACAAAAGCAGTGGGTGTAAAAACTATTGGAACAAGGTTTATATTGGTTTAGTTTGCCAATACTTACTTGCGTTGCGTTGTTGCAAAATGCTTTTGGATAATGAGTTTTATGGAAATCAGTGCTGAAATTACCTTGAAGAGGTCATCCATGAAAGAATAATGGATGCAAATAAATCCAAGCAATTTTCATTTACAAAGAAAGCATCCTGATTAACTGTTCTTTCTATATAAAAAAAATGTATACAGTATTGCAATACATTACCCTTCTCTTATATGGCTCAAGCACTTCTTTTGCGTCATCACATAGGGGGCACGGTTTCTAAAGGAAAATATTGAGACCGTCTTAAATCACACAGTAAAACACACAGATCATTTCTACTGTAAAGTAACATACACAGACAGGAGTGATCATTACTGTAAATGTGGGTTCTCTCCCCTCTACCATCCTGTCTTACTGTTTTCTAAATCTTTGCTGTATCAGTTCAGCATGGATGAAAAGAAAATAAATTGTTCAGCCACAGAAATTAATTTCTCATTTGCTATTATTTTTCTCATGGTGCAAATTAACAGTTTTCAGCATCTCTTCTGAAGGCTGATTCAGGCATAGGTCATGCACAGACCTCTTCTTTCGGTCATCAGCAATGAATATTCAACACACAGTCATCACCAGCTGAGAACAACTGTGGGCGCCACTCTTGATAGAATTTCCCTTGATAGAAGGGGAATAAGGAAGTCACATGAGTAATTTCTAATCTGTTTCAGATTGAGTCACTTGGTTCAGTTCAAATAGCAAAAGAAGGTGATTTAAGATAACCTAGCTGACTTTGCCTGAAAGAAATTAAGCATGATCCTCCAACTGGCAGAGCTGGGAGGACAGTAACCTGCTGAGGGAGAACTAGCAAACAGCTGCAGTGTTTTGACCTGTGATAGGGTCAAAGAAAACCTCTAATCTTTGAAAACTCACTGGTCTTCCACTACAGTCATACAGCTGACTTCTGCTGATCATGCATCATGATCACTAGAGCAGTGCATACCTGAGGAAGTGACTCACAGGAAGGCATGTTGCTTCAGTGTTAGTGATGGCAGAATCTGGCCTACAATTCACAGAGCAAAGTATACAGTGGTGAAGGTGATGGCTCTGTCCGTCTGCCACAAAATACCTCTCATAGCTGGAAAAGACCCTCTCCCTCACACTTAAATTCTTCCTAGGGCTTGTTTAAACATGGAGTTAATCTGAAACAGGAACTTCTTATTTCCTGAGTGTGAATTAATTTGGATTAAATACATTTAATTCACACTAATCTGTTTTTCCTACACAGATAAATCTTTATGCTCTGAAAACCTATGCAATATGCTAAAGATCAACAGTGCTGCATTCCTGCTAGTTCTTGTCACTTTTGGACGGATTGATATACCTGGTATTAGTGACTGAAAGGAACATCCCAGAATCCTGCACACCAGTTTTGTAACATGCCAGGATTCTTACAGTTATTAGGACATACTCAGTTCCCCTAGCCCGGGGAGAGCTTTCTAATGTAACAGTCACATAAAAGCATTTGACACACTAAGCTGACTCTTAGCAAAGAATGTGTTTTTACTCCTGCTCTGATGGCAGGTTTAAGCACTACATGGTACTAGTAAGATTGGAACTGGTTTAAAAATCAGATGGGGAGCTATTTCAACTAACTGGGAAATCTGTTTAAACAGAGAATAGCATTACAACATCATTACAGTAATAATACTTTATATTAGTACATATTTTTCCACAGTACAGTGCAACAGTAGGTCTCTGTCATCACTTGCTTTATGTTAATTTGTAATAGGGCTGCCTGGATAAAGATGTCTTGGACAACCTCTCTCAGATGTATATTGCAGTGGCAAAAAGGACTCCTACTGCTGAAAGAGTAAAAGTTCCTTCTCAAAGTGATATATGCTGTTCTGATAGCTAGATATGTTAGACAATACACGTGGTGGAAGGAACAGTTTTATTTCTACAGATAATTGCCATTTATGCTGCATACTTAAATTGCAGTTTTGTGGTCATTTAAGCTGGCACTGATGCTGAAGGAAGCAGACCCATCTTCCTGTCACTGTGCTGTGTGTCACTTCTTCTGTGCTGGCATGAAACAGCTGCACAGTAGAGCTAGACAGAAGAATTTATCTCAGTTAATAGTAACCATGCAGAAATAAAAAGAGTTGTTTTTCTTTTAACCTGGAGCAGTGGTTGCATGAATGCTTGTGTTGGCATAAAAGGAGCCTGTGAGGGGAAAACCATTTGGCAGTGCTAGCTTCTATCAGTTTTAAGTGGCTGCAGAAGTCATAGCCTCCTCCTGCCTTCTCCTCCTATTTTCTCCTTATTCTTAAGAAGAGGAAGGAAAGAAAAAGGACTTAGCCTAAACTAAGAGTGCAGATTAGATTTATTTTTAAGTAGTCTGCAATTTTGCTTTGCAATTGCCAGTGTTATCAGTCATGAAAAACATTTTAAGTTAAAAACACATGCAACAAGAAGCCACTTTAGAGAACTACTTAAAACTTTGCTCTTAGAAAATGTGTCTTACTAGTTAGAGATTTTAAGACACAAAAATCATACAAAGAGCTTTTTTCCCATTATTAACCCAAAGGTATACTCATTATTCCCTACCTTATCACATCTGGATTATGAATGAGTTGATGCTGAATCAGGCAGAAGGAGAGAGAGAGAGCCACTACTAACCTTCATTTGTTAGTTTTAACTACTTCCTTGCTACAATGAGACTGTGCTGCAAAGCCTGGTGTGAAAGACACCCCCAAAGTAAAATGCCCAGTATTACACAACTTTAAAGGGGACAAAAAGCATGGCCAAGCCATTTCATCTGGGAGTCACATATATCAAAGCTGATAAATACACAGTTTTGCCTAGCTTTATTCTGTAAACAACTTTTACCTTAGTGAATAAAGTCAACACTGGTTTATTTGTGCTGGCTGAACAGAGTCGTCTCCCCAGTGGACTGGATGAATGCCTTGCTAGTTGCAGTGCTCTGCTCAGAAAACAAAGCAACATTGTCCTGTTAAAGCAATAATAAAATGTTTAATTAATTTGTGGCAAGTTATAGCTCATGAAATTTAATGTAAAGATGTGATACTTCAATCGCAGTTCTAAAATACGCACAATCAAGCCATTTCTCCAGGATTTTTATGTTCACATTATCAACACATTAATCAGAAAAATGGTTTACTATGCAGCAGGCCGGAAACACTGCACAGATCAAAAAGTGTAGTTCCATTTCTGAAAAAACCCTGCTTTATTGCTGAAATGCCTCTTTCAAATTCCCTAACACAAATTCTGACATAAATGCATTATGCTGTTTCAACAGCATAGATGCTAGTAAGAATTACGTGATATGAAAAAAAAGCAAAAAGCTGTGCTTTGAACCTCAGTAATCTTGCTGCAGTGCTTGACATATTCTACTTACATAAAATTATTCCATCAAAAAACTAATCTGAACCTAATTAGAATATTAATACAATTCTTTCTGCAGTAAATAAAAGGCTGCAGCTAAGATGATTTAACTTGGTAATATTAAAAGCATTCACACTGCCCTGAGTCTTTCCTACAACAGAAAATTAATTTACAAAAGATGTTTATGGGTATGTGATTTCTTTGGTAGTGTTTAAGTAAATTTAGTGTTGTTGGAGGGTGCCATATTGGAGTTCTGAAGTTACCTATTCATAATAACACTAATAACACTGCTTCCTCCAAATTTTTGTGTTAGTGGGACCTTTACAAGGCATTTTAGGACTGAAATGCAAAAAACAGAAGCAAAAGGGTGTCTGCACAGAGATTATCAGCAGATGTGACACTCAACATCAGAATTTACACCAGGAAATCAAGTCCCTTTTACATAAAGCCAAAATGCTTCAGTTTCTGTTTGGGCACGACTTACCTGTAGTTCTACTAACTACAGCTAACCACAAACACACAATGTAATGGCACAAGTTTAAACAACCTAAGTGTGAGCAGAACTACATTGTAACTGATAAGCATGTTTTAGGATGTTCCGTAAAAAAAGACCCTAGTGCATTCCTCAGTACCAATATTACATAAGGGTTTTTTAAGAGACAGCTTAGCCAGCATAACCTCTAAGGAAAACATTGCAGTGGACTCTGAACTTAAAACTACTTACTGTATGTTTCTAAGCAACAACCACAAGAAAAAAACCAAATGGGTGACATGACACTGCCCCACATGCCTTACTGCACCATCAGACACCTTTTTTTCTTACAGAGGACTCTGGTAAGGGTAACTTGCCATGTTTCCAGAAGAAATTTCAACAGAGCAAATACAAAGAAAAGGTATTACACTTTGAAAACTATAGCCTTAATTATAAAATTTTAGATGCTAGGAAAGAATGAGGTTTTTTTTTTCTCTGACCACATAAAAAGTTGTTTAAAATACAGTATTTTGCAACAAACAGGCTTTGGATTTACTGTTTAGTTTGGGACAGAAAGGATTCTCATTTGCACATGTCAGGCTTGATACCAGTAAGAGTCAGCTGCAGGGGCCGAGTGGCATGCTTGCTGTCACATCAAAGTTGCAGGTGACTGGCACAGCACACACTGACATTGGTCATAGACCTTGGCAACTACCACATTTGTTTTACTTAGCAAAGTGGAAGCCTAACTGTCTTGGATCTTACATAAGTACAAAAGTAAGCTTGGAACCTTTCTGAAAAATGCAAATATGGATGACAGTAAACAGCCTCAGTCATACTTAACAATTTTTATGTCCACAGTAAATAGGTGCCCAGAATGGATGCGTTTTTGGCATTAAAAAATTGCATGTTGGCCTGCTCACATGCAAGATAAAAGTCCCAAAACAAATAGTTCGCACTCTGGCAAGTTTTTTTTATCCTAGCAAGCCAAATTTTTTGCCTTCAAAACAAGAAAAATGTCCCCAAATTGTTCTGTGAACAGTGAAATGAATAAAGCCTAGATTTCCACGTATCTTATTCTCCCATATATACACATACATGTATAAAATGGGTCAGGTTCACTCCTTTATACTCCTTTTTTTGGTCCCTCCACCCTCTGGTGAATTTGACTCCTGTGGACAACTCCTACAAAAACATTAACTGAAGGGTAATGATTAAGATGGTACCAGTACCTAGGCTTCAAGATATCACAAACCCAAACCAGCTAGCACAGTGTCTTACTTCCTTACCGGTTTCAAATAATTATAAGCAACACTGTCTCTGGAATTCAGGAGGAAATCTTAATTGACCAGTAATCCTACTGAAGTGACAGTCTGCTGTTTCCAGAGTTAGTGCGAGACCAGCTTAAAGTTTTTATTAAAAAACCTAAGGAAAACAGAGTCCTGGTCGTCAATTTATTCACCTGTGTAGAATGATTCTAAGGCCATACTGTAATGCCAGTTACAAAAAGACTCGAAGGACTAGTCCTGATCTATAGAATTATGCCAGTCTCTGTCCAGGCTCTACCACCATAAAGCAGTATTGAGACATCTAGCCCTGAGGGAGGGTGAGATACTGTCAGACGGCATCAACAGTACAGATGATACAGCTTGATTTCCCTACACTCCTGAAGTCCACAGTTGCCAGACAGCATGATCAGTCAGACTTGCTGCATTTAACCTGGGCTAAATTACTGTGCAACTTCAGCTTCACCAGACTGCAACTAAGGCTCTAGCCCCATAGAGATTTGCTTCTAAATCAGTAGAATTTACTAATTTTATTGGATTAAAAAGGTCATGGATAAAACCAAATAGCAGTGGTTTTGCACAAACACTGAACAGTTCTAATATTGTGAAGGGTTAAGTCTAGTTGCTATTGATCAGGAGCTGATGAAAGTGAGTATCTAATCACTCATCAGGCAACTCTACTGCAGCAGCTCAATTTGTCTGAACAGCATCCCAGAGGCACATGGGTGTTCAGCATATGCACACTACTGCTTTGTGAACATGTGGGTTCCAAACACTGGTCTGTGCTAAGATGAGCAACGTTTCTGGAATGCAGACCTCCAACCTCAGAGGTCATTTCCATGCCAATTTCATCACTGACAGAAATAAAGTGTCACACAGATGCCCCATGGCATTCACGTCCTGCTCACATCTGTATCCTATGTCTTCTGTTATGAAGAAACACTAAGAGCACATACAAAATCTTTCAACGTGATTACCCTGGAGTTCTCTTTAGCCTACACCCAAATAATTAAAAGATTTGTTTGAGGAACAAACTTAATATGTAAATGTATAGAAGGACGCTTGCAAACTTCAGAACTTACCCTCCCCTATACTACAGTGCTACAGAACAACTTAACAAATCACGCTTGAGTCTGGACTTAGCCCATGTTTTATTTGCAAAGCCAAACTGGACTCATTTCCTGTTAACAGAATTTCCATTATCTAATAAATCCTCATCTGCTGGAAAAACAAAATGTGATGCTAAAACTAGCCATTACTTAGATGAGATAATGATCTTTATAAACCATATCTAAGCATCAATCAAGTAAAGATAAGCATGGCTGATTTTTTCTCCAACTGTGTACTTTTTAATGATACTCTTAAATAATTTCAGCTTCAAGTCACCAACACACTCTTGCTATGTGGTTCTGAATGTTTTATATGCATAATCACCAACATATTTGGACAGGATTATTTCCTGTTTTCTATGGATTTGTATGCATATACACAAAGATTAAATTATTATGAACTTGCGGGCATTTGTCTGAGTACAATTTATATTCATGTAGTATTTGATTTTGGAGCCCCAACCTGGGTTTGACAGAAGATGTGGATTGCCTGGTCAAATCACACCTCTTTCTCCAAGGTAAAAGTAACACATCAGGAACATGGAAAACATTACATGAACATGTCCTAGACATTCAGTTTACTAGACACTTAAAAAGTTTCTTTTGAGATAAAGAGCTAGAAAACATCTAGGACATTTTCATAGCTATTTGTCTTAAAGAAACTTTTAAAGTGTCAAGTAAACTGACTCATAACGTCCACTTAATCTTCATTATATTATGACAAAGGAATATCAACTAAAAGAGAATGGGGAAAGCAAGCAGATGCAGGTGTAAGAATATGTGCTGATGGCCCAAGTCAGTGGTAGTTTGAAACAGCCGCCTCCTGTTGTCCCTCATTCAAAACCAGCTACGATCATCAAGGAAAGTAAACTAGCTGGCAGTCTGCTGTTGTCAGTTTGATTACTTACCAGGGAAATGCTGAACAAGAAAATACAGTGCCACAGAAAGAGACCAAGGAGCTTGTGTAAGTAGGGACACCAAATCCTGTAGCTGTTGAGATCCCTGCAAGGCTTTTACCCCAACAGCCTTTCAGAGGAGGCATGCAAAATCTCAAAACTTCTTTTGCATGTCACTGTACTTACACATCACTGTAAAGGTCTTTAGGGAAGAATCAGGTTTTCAAATCAACTCAAAATTCAGAAATGTCATAAATACCACTTGTGGGGTGATGTTTAATATCAATCAATGCCTATTTCTATACATCTCCTCGTCCAAACTGCAGTAATCTGGGGTAAATGCCACAAAAACATTGCATTCCATCTCAGAAAAGATTAAAATTATAATTTCATCCTAAAGTGCAATAAATTTTGTTTAGTGATCCCTCCAGAGGTATCCATTCTACACTCTGGTCTGGGTCCCGTACTCCAAATTTCAGACTATCTAAAAAACATTCTCAATGGGTTGCTGTAACGGCCACAAGGCATTTCCAAAGACTAAAGAACTGGCATGTGCAGTGGGTCATTATCATAAAGTAAACCTGTGATAGAGTTTAAAAGCCTGTTTTAAACATCTCCATTTTAAAACATTTCAGCTACATGATCCACTCCCCACTCAGGGCCGGAGGCGAGCCAAATCCGGTAAAGAGTGTATCCAGAGGTCGTCCTATTAGCTCCTGTAATGAGGATGTTTTCTTTTGATACTATTTTCTAAATCAGTAACGCCGTCTATAGGGATCCAAAGCCCATTAAAAAACAAGCGGGCG